AGAGTAGATATATACTGCGTATTGGAAAACTGGCGACAGGAGTAAAGTGGTTGTGAATTATTATAAAAAGGTGTTAGGAAAGGAATTAAACTTCAATAACTATTCTCTATTATGAATATTAATGATATTATGTTTAGATAATGTTGCGATTATCTACAGTATTTTAAGTTCAAAGAAGAAAAAGAATAGTTTTATACCAATTTATATTTCAGTTAAAGAAATGTTATACGCATTATCATTATACGTATGATATCTGTGATCTGAGCGCCTCTGGTGGCCGACTGTAGAACGACAGGAACAACAATAAACCAGTAATGAGTGAAGATTTTTTTTTCATTTCATCTCTGCCTACCTAACCATGACATCCACGAACATCCCAACATTCTTTTTTTTTTTCATTTTGACCCATCATCTCTGATTCCTCCATCTCCTCTTGCTCGAATGAAAAGTAAAGGAAAAGTAAAAAAGGAAACGAAAATAGAAAATGTGGGATAGGTCACTGTGTCTCATATTTCTGATTACCTCTTGGACGCGCCTATCGGGAGGTGGGGTGGGGGGGCGGGGTTGGGGGTGGGGGGGGAGGGGAGAGTGATTGTTAAGTAACTAAACCTAAAAGGCAACGAAAGGGATCGGGTTTCAGACCTATTTGGAAGTCTTCGAAACGGCGGTTGAGGATATTTACACAATAACTAAGTTTTGCCATTCGTTATTTTTTTTCTCTATTTTGTTTATCTTTATTTATTCTCATTTTTTTATGTTACATTATTGTTATCATCTTTATTATTATTATTGTTATTATTATTATTATTATCATTGATATTATTATCGTTGTTATTATTATTATTATTACTATTATTATCATCATTGTCATTATCATTATCATTATCATTATCATCATTATCATTATCATTGTCATTATTATTATTATCATTATTGTTATTATCATTATTATTATTATCATTATCATCATTGTCATCATCATCATCATCATCACCATTATCATTATCATTATCATTATCATTATTATTATTATTGTTATTATTATTATTATTATTATTATCATTGTCATCATCATCACCATTATCATTATCATTATCATTATTTACTAGCCATTACTTCAGCCAATTAACTATTACATTACAGTCCGTGTTAGTTCTCGAGCCACCTTACCTCCAATATCACTTTTTCTCCAGTAGGACAATAGGCCTATTTTTTCCCTATTTTTTCCTTTGTTTTTATTTTTCTGTCTTTTAAAATCTCGCTTTTGATTCCGGAGTGTCTTCCACGTGTAGATTTTTGGTCTTAATTCTAAAACTTTTCAATTTAGAATGTTTTTTTTTCTGTAACTAACAAATATGTAATAAAAACTGAATTTGTTTGTAAGATAAAGACCACATTTTAACATTACTCCCGAAAGAAGAAGAAGAGAGATAGACAGATAGATAGAAAGATAAATAGAGAGAGAGAAAGAGAGAGAGAGAGATCAAGAGCAGGAAGGCGGGAAAGAGAGAGAGGAGAAAGAGAGAGAGCAAGAGCATGAAGGGGAGAGAGAGAGAGAGAGAGAGAGAGAGAGAGAGAGAGAGAGAGAGAGAGAGAGAGAGAGAGAGAGAGAGAGAGAGAGAGAGAGAGAGAGAGAGCAAGAGCAGGAAGGGGAGAAAGAGAGAGAGAGAGAGGAGAAAGAGAGATAGCAAGAGCATGAAGGGGAGAAAGAGAGAGAGAGAGAGAGAGAGAGAGAGAGAGAGAGAGAGAGAGAGAGAGAGAGAGAGAGAGAGAGAGCAAGAGCAGGAAGGGGAGAAAGAGAGAGAGAGAGGAGAAAGAGAGAGAGCAAGAGCATGAAGGGGAGAAAGAGAGAGAGAGAGAGAGAGAGAGAGAGAGAGAGAGAGAGAGAGAGAGAGAGAGAGAGAGAGAGAGAGAGAGAGAGAGAGAGAGAGAGAGAGGAGAGAGAGAAAGAGAGAGAGGAGAAAGAGAGAGAGCAAGAGCAGGAAGGGAAAGAAAGAGAGAGAGAGAGAGTGAGAGAATAAAAATCTTGATATAGCGGAAATAAAAAATCCAATAATTGTTACAGTGTGAATGGTTATCATTTTTCTTTTTGAACAAGTTTCATTTACGCGAGAGAAGAAGAGAAGAAGACAACAGCGAAGGAAAAGAAAGAGGTTAAGAAAAAAGAAAATATTTCTGAAAAGAAAAGAAAAAAAAACGATGCCTTTCTTTACTTTTCAAAGGAAACTCTTGAAGGTATAAATTATTTCTAATTTCAACTTTCTGCTAAATGTATATTCTTTTTTTTCAAATAGAAAGTTCTTAAGAAAGGATAGCACATAACTTCTTTGAATAATAATTATATTTATGATAATGATAATGATGATAATTATTACAAAAATAATAAAAGCAACAATAATGGTAATAATGAATAATAATAATTGTAGTAGTATTAATTGTAATAGTAATAATGATAATGATAATAATTATAATGATAATGATAATTATAATTGAAACTATA